TTAAACATAAAAGAAAGCAAGGATTCAAGTTGCCACCATCAGCAAGTCTGAAGTTCGAGGTTTGGGTCGAGCCAACTTAACTGTCTAATAAAACAAAACAAACAGATCAATATTCTCTCACTTCCATGTCTATGGAAATAAACTACTATAAGAAGTTCTCTCCGACCAAAAACCACCCCCAAACGGTAAAATGCAAAATATATATTAAGCATGGTTTCAAGCACTGGTCAACTGACAGCATGGAATGGTAATCCCTCCAAGAAGGGACACAAAGTTTCCAGGTCACAGCACAGGGAGAGGGAACACAATCAACCCAGCAGTCTCCCTGATTTTAAGAAAGAGATCAGAGTTTGGAGAGTCCAAAATAGCTAGAATTGCCAGGCAAAATACTGAAGAGGAAGGAGTATGAGAGAGGGGGAGGGGGAGACACACAGAGAGGGAGGGTGGAGGGAGAGGTGAGGAGATGGGGAGAGAGAGAGAGAGACAGAGACAGAGACAGCAAGCTGGATCTGGCCCATGGGCTACGGGTTGGTGACTTTAGTAATGAGACTAAATTAGTCCTAGAGCAAATGCTACTCTACACTAAAAAAAGCTTTAAAGCAAGCCTCAAGAGGGCCAAAATGATCTTAAGTAACTAACCCTTTAAAGGAATATAACAAAATACAGCATCCAGCAATTTAAAATTCAAGTAAAAAATTTCCAGGCATGCAAAGAAGCAGGAAAATAGATTCGATATTCAGGAGGGGGGATAAAAAACCCAACCCAAAATAACAGAGGTAATGGATTTAATAAATAAGGATGTTAAAACAAGTATTATCAATATGCTCCATAAGCTCAAGAATGTAGAGGAAAAGATGATCATGATGAGAGAAACTGAAGATAACAAACAGGATCAAATAGGCTTTCTAGTAAAAACATATGATGTGAAAAATATAATAGATGTAAGTAAAAGCAGATTAGACAGTGAATAAGGAAAGAGCAGTGAACTTGAAGAGAAAGCAACATAAGCTATCCAAAACACTTTGGCAATTGGCTGCATTCCAATAAAACTTTATTTATAAAACCAGGAGGCATGCCTGATTTAGCCTTCAGGCAATAGTTTGCCAACCCTTGGCCTAGGGCAACCACTAAAAAAATAGAGGTATTTCTAATAAGTGAATAACAGAGAAAAAAACAGAATCATGAAACAATTTCTCAATTTAAAAGAAAACAAAAGAAGAGAAAAAAAAGAACAATAAAAATTTAAAACAATTGGGAAGAATAGAAAAATTGCATGGTGGTATATTTAAACCAAAATTATTAATAATTACATTACATAAAAATGGACTGAAACTAATGAAAAGGTAGAGTGTCAGACTGGAGAATAAAGTAAGACTAAACTATATACTGTCTGTAAAAGACTCACTATAAATATAAAACATAAGTATGTTAAAAAGAATGGAAAACAGGAATACTATGTAAATACTAATCATAAGAAAGCTTGAATGGCTATAATAATATTAAACAAATTATTTCAGAACAAAGAATATTATCAGTGATTAAGTGAGGCATTTCATAATGATAGAGGGGCGTCAATGCATGAGAGCATGCAACAATCCTAAATGTAAATCCGTCTAAAAACAGAACTTCAAAATACATTAAGTAAAAACTGATAGAACTAAAAAGGAAAAACAGAGAAAGCCACAATTATAATTGAAGATTTCAACTTTCCTCACTCAGTCACTGCTATAACAGATTGAAAATCAATAAAGACATAGAAGACTTTACATTCACAATCAACCAAACTGACCTGGTTATTTAGAGAACATGGCACTCAAGAACACCAGGATATACATTCTTTATAAGTGCACATAAAACATTCATCAACTTAAACTATAATTTGTGCTACAAAAGTCTCCATAAATTTAAGAAGGCTGAAATCATACAGAGTACGTTCTCTGACTGCACAGAATTAAACTACACATCAATGACAGAAAGTTATCTGGAAAATTTCCAAATATTTGGAAATTAAACACACTACTTCTAAACAACCAATGGGTCAAAAAAGAACTCACAAAGGAAATTAGAAAATATTTTCAACTGAATGAAACTGAAAATGCAACATGCCAAGGTTTGTTGAAGGCTACTCAAACAGTGCTTAGAGGGATATTTATAGCATTAAATGTTCCTACTAGAAAAAAAAGAAAGTCTCCTGTCAATGATATAAGCATCTCTCTACAAAACTAGAATGAGTCAATTAAACCCAAAGTGATGAAAAAGAAAGGCGTTAAAAAAGATAACAGTAGAAGTGAAGAAACAGGAAACAGAAAAACAATGGAGAAAATAAATGAAATCCAAAGTTGGTACTTTGAAAAGATCAATAAAATTGATAAACCTGGAGCCAACTGACCAAGAGAAAAAGAGAAACAAATTACCCATAATAGGAAGGGCACTGCTAAAGATTGTACAAACATCGAAAGGATAAAAATACATCATATTTTCAACAATTTTATGCCGATAAATTTTACAACTGAGATAAAATGGACAAAATTTCTTGAAAGATACAAACTACAAAGGCTCACTTCAGAAAATAAATTGATAACCTGAATAGCCCTGTCTTTTTTTTTTTAAGCCTTAAGTCTTATTAAGGAACATGAACTGTCAGTTAAACACCTTCCCACAAAGAAGTCTCAAGGATCAAATGGCTTCCCTGGTAAATTCTAACAGCTGAAGAACAAACAATATCAATTCTACACAAATTCTTTCAGAAAATAAGAGGAGAGAATGTGTCTCAACTCATTTTACAAGATAGCACTACCCTGATACCAAAACTAGACAAAGATGTTACAAGAAAAACTACAGACCAGATTCTTTATGAACCACAGACAAAAGATTCTTAACAATGTATCAGCAAATACATCAAGCAATATATATATATACATACATAGACACACACACACACACACACACACACACACACACACACACACACACACACACACACACACAAAAATATACTGACCAAGTGGGGTTTATCTTAGGGCTACTAAGTTGGTTTAACACTTCAAAGTCAATCAGTATAATTCACCTTGTTAATAAAAAAAAAGACAGAGAGAAGAGCCATACAATGGAGAAAAAACTTTTCACAAAATTCAACACCCACTCGTGATAAAAAATATCAGCAAACTAGAACTTCTTTAACCTTATTAATCTGATAAAGAGCATCTATGTAAAACCTTCAGCTAACATCATACTTAAACATTGAAAGACTGAATGCTTTACCACTAAGTCAGGAAGAAGCCAAAAATGTCTGTTCTCACCACTTCTATTCAACATTGTACTGAAGGTTCTAGACAGTGTAATAAAGCAAGACAGAAATGAAAGGAGCTTGGATGGAAAAGAGTCATTATTCATATATGACATCATTGTCTATGTAGAAAATCCTTAAGAATATTCAAAACAATTACTAGAATAAGTTAGTTGAGAAAGACTGCAGATCAATATACAAAAATCAATTGCATTTTCATGTACTAGCCATAAACAAGGGGAACTTGAAATAAAAATCAATACCATTTACAATACCATAAAAAAATACCTAGTGATTAATACATATAACAAAACATTTGCAAGACTGGAACACTGAAAACAACACAACATTCCTGAGAGAATTTTAAAGATTTACATAAAAGGAGATGTGCGTCATAGTTATGAAATGCAACACTATATTATCATTAATAAATTGTCAATGAGCATTTTAATATTGTTCTCTCCCCTAAGGGACTGCATTTATACATTCCTCTAATGTGCTTTGAGTCTGATGATATAAAAACTTTAAGAGTTATTGTTTAATGTTATTGGTATAGTTTCTGTTTGGGATGATGAAAAAGTTCTGGAAATAGTAGTGTTGCTTACACAACAATGTGAATGTACTTAATGGCACTGAATTGTACCCTTAAAAAGGGTTAAAATGGTAAATATTTTATGTTATGTCTATTTTACCACAATTTTTTTAAAAAAAAAGTTAAGCCTAAAAGCGTAAGATACACAAAGATCCATAACTGAGCACTGTGGTGAGCATTTAAAGGACTGGAAAAGGAGCAAAGGTGTTAAATGGGAGGATGAATGACTGCCATGAAAGAGGCACCCAAATAAAGATGACATCAATGGGGATGAGGGAACTGTGATACAAAGAATAAGACTCACCACTACGGTTTTAACACTCGGAATGGCAATTTAGGATTAAAATTATTTGAACATCGTTAGAATATAATAATAGTGGTAGATTGTGAATAGGAACAGGGGACTTCAAAGAGAAGAGAACCAATATAGAAGTTCTGAAAGAAAACACCAAGGGAAATATTTTTGAAAACAAGAGCAAAATATTTCAAGAGTTATACTCTTGGTTCAGTAGGGTGATAAAAGCAAATATGTTTACCTCTGCATCTAAACTTAAAAATTAGAAGAAATTCTAAAATAGGAATAAACCTATAACGCCATTAGTATACCAGAGTGTGTTATTGGCAGGCCACAGATTTTTAGGAGTTGTTAGCAGCTAGGAGCAAAATCGAAGAACAGACTGGAGAAATACATGAGTCTCAGTTTTTGTGGAATCTGTCAAGCACAGCTCTAGTCTTAAAGCCTCAAGACAGGACTCCTTGTCACTTACTAACAATCTATCAATTCCATCTCCATCTTGACTGTTTTTATCTATGAAGTTTGTGCAGTAATATATTCTCATTTAACTTAAGAAAATGCATTTTTGACCCAGCACTGCTTCTGGAAGAAGACTGAGAAACATGTTAAATGACATACCAATTTAATGTATGAACACTGGTTAAAATTACAAGCAGCACTTGTGGAAGGTAAAGGCTTATCTAGTCAATATGGGAAGAAATGAGGACCACTTCCCTGAAGGAAAAGATAGACAAAAGGATTTAATACAAGAAAGGTAAATGCTCAAACATCCTTGGGGGGTGTGGTGGGGAGACTATTCAGAAAGGAGAGAGAAACTATCACCTCACCTGAGCCATAGTTTTGAGTTCTGCAAGGGATGGTCAGTTTTCCTTTGGGATCCTCTTTGGAAAGGGGTGGTTCCTAAGAAGGGAAAGCCAAGATGAAAAGATGCCACATACCACTACACACACTATGCCTTACAGCTCTCTTATGACTCAAGTAAAATTGCCTCCATTTCCCTTGCTTTGGTCCTTGTCTACTCTGCACATCCCACATATATACAGTGGGAGAGGATCAGCTAGACAAATCTTATTTTATCCCCAGAGGCAGAGACACGGGCTCTTGGGGCAACAGGTTAAATTTTGGGAAAGCTCCCCTTTTCTGTTAGCACCATCTTTTCTTTCCTAAGCAGCCTACTGATATTAACGACTTCCAAGCCGCTCTCCATTAAGGTTCTACCATTTACACTGTCACCAGCGCTACATGAGAATACCTGTCACCCCTTATGAATACGACTGATACGAACTTCTTGATGCCTGCTTATCTAATAGGTATAGTTTTTATTTTTATTTTTCTTATTGTGAGAGAAGATAAGCTTATTTCCTAATTTTAAAAAACTTCTTTAGTTTCTTGTCTGTGAACGGTATCTTATTATTCTTTTGCTTTTCTATCAGGTTATTTTTATTTTCTAGATTGACATTAGATCTTTGTAAAAGGAAAGAAATTAATCCTTTATTTACTTAAAATAAATTTTTATACTTTCTCATTTGACTTTTTCCCACAAAAATGACAAAAAAAAAAAGATTATGGGCCATCTGGTTTAGTACCAGCAGGTATTTGATAGCCTGTATTTCCTCCACTCACCAAAACTGCCATCTTAATCATACACTTTATTTCCTTTATGTATTTGACTAGATCTGGATTTTATATTTAGTTCCACTGATGTGTTCATTTAATTGCCAAGATCACTCCCTGCAGTTATTACAGTTTTAAAATGCATTTCAGTATCACGTAGGGCTACCTCCCCCTTCATTATTTTTCTCTTTCAGAATTTCTGGCTTGTTTGTTTTCTCCTAAGAATTTCAGAAAATTCAAATATTCTACTGAAATTTTAATGGAATTGCATGAAATGTTAAGGAGTTTTGACACTTTATCATGTTGTGTCTTCTCATCCATTTATTCAAGTCCTAATTTCTGAGTCCCTTAGAAACATAAAAAATTTTTTTAACACATCATATCTCATGTTTTTGATGGCCACTGGCCACTTCCCATAGTTTTGATACATTATCTACACATCTGTGCACACGCATGCACACATATATAAATATATGAAGTCTATTACCTTCTTATGATTTTTTTTCCAGCAAACCTCTGAGTTTTTAACAGGACAGTAACTCACACCCTGATGCCACTGGGAACCGAAGTGATAAGAAGATGTGTGTGAAAACTGTAAATGTATCCAGGATTTGGGAGGGCAAAGTAACTTAGTTGGCTAATTCTCACCTGAGCTCTAAATGGGGAATCCATGGATGGAGCCTACCTGAGTTGACTTGGATCCTCCTGTCCAAGAGGACTGGAGAGACTACACTCACCAGAGCAGGGCCACAGCATGCCCAGAGGAAGCACTGGGGAGGCAGCTGGATAAGTGTCTATGCCTATGAGAAGAAAAGTGTACCTGGAAGTTCCCAGTGGGTTCTCTTAGAAAGGAAGAGATAACTTACACTAAATTATAATTGGACCAGTCATGTTAGCCTCTTCCTATTCCTGACTTTTGACTTCCTTTTTTCAGCTCCCGATCCATTCTAGCTGGAGACTACCCACCTAGAGGGAGTAAAGAGGAGACAAAATATAGGTTGAGGAATTACAGAAGAAATTGATCATGTGCTCTTTCCCATAGCAGGCTTCCATCAAGGAAGAAGAATTTTCTGCTTTTAAAATAAGTTTGAGGTACTGATTTCTACGATGAATATTTTACTTAGCTAAATGACTAATATGAGACTGATCTTGTGTTTAAATGCCCAACAGATTTTTTTATTACCTTCAAAATGACTGAAAGAATTATTAAATCTGCCCAGGAATTCATCCAGCAGCAGGAAAAAAAAAAAATTCACCCAAATAGAAATTTTGAGAGTGGCACTTACGGGTCCTACTGATTTCAACATTTTGGTCATTAGTCGATATGGGGTTTCCCACTATAATATCCTACCACCCGAAAATTATTTTAATTTTACTTCATCCTCTCCATTTAAAAAATCTCTACTTATTTTGTCTAGTTACCACAGAGTCAAATTCTACAGGCATATAAAATAACCAATATTCAGATCATCTAAACACTACATACTTAACTAGTCATGCATCCAATTCCTCAAGCGCTCCATCTCAATTACACAATGAACCACGTTCACAGTCGCCACGGACTGAGCACACAGAATACTTCAGAAATTAGATATATGTATACTTATATCACTCAAGACATAACCACTATCCTACAGGCACTCGTGTCACACATAATCTCACAGAGCCCATGACATACTTCTACACAAAGTAGAAAAATTTCACTCACAAACCCCTTATGGTTGCCTCTCCAAAGTCGCATACAGTCTCAAACACAAATCAACTCTCACCTAGTTAAAAAATTAGACACATGCCGAGACCCTATCACTTTCACAACAAGCGGTGCCACAACATCACACGGAGTAACACGTGCCCAAACACACCCAAGGACAGGCACAAAAAGCTACAGAAACTGAACCTCCGTGTGTGCCAGGCCGCGCTCTGAGAGCTGGGGTTTCCTCACGAGGGCGGGGAGAAAAAATAATTCCTGCCCACGTCGAGGTCACAGTTCCCTCCTCGGGCTTCCAGTCCCCTCCTCGGATCTCTCTAGCTTGGATCCCCGTTTCCCTCCTGGGCTCGCGCCAGCCCGGGCTCCCTATTCCCTCCTCTGCGTTCCCGGCCTTGGCTCCCGCTTCCTTCCTTTGCCTAGCTTCTCCCTTCCCTCCTCGCTTTCTCTCGACGCCGGACTCTCACTTTCCTCCCCGGTCCTAGGTTCCCTCTTCCTTCCTCGCTTTCCCCAGCCCAGGTTCTCGCCTCCCTCCTCGGCACTGCCCCCAGGCCCCGCCATCACCCGCCTCCTACTCGCCTTTAGCACCCGCCAGCCTCACCTCCGACCACTAGCCAGCCGTCTGCGCCTGCGTACTCCCGCGCCAGCGGTACCTCCCGAGTGTCTCCGCGGCTCGGTCTTCGCCACCGCGGCCTCCGCGGGGGGCCTTCTGCACATCCGGGCTTTCCGGCTTTGAACTACATTTCCCACCGCCCCCAGGCAGCTTTGGGAAAGAACTTACATCGCAGCTCTTTTCTGATTCTCCTCATTTAGTCCTCAAATTCGTCCTGCTCCGATTGGTAACCAGAGTCTGGGCGCGCTGGCGCTCGCGGTGTGGACGCTGGAGCTCAGGGTTTGAGCGTGTGTAAGCGTTTGCGGCTGTGACGAGGCGGGGTTTTTGCGCGGTGATGGGGCCGTGACAGGTGCGTGATTGTGTTTGAGTGTTCCTGCTCCGATGCCGAACTTTTTAAATGACGTTGGTTGGCTGTGATGTGGAGTGTCCGCCGCCGTGCCTTTTGAGACAGCGCATCAGAAGACAGTGCCCTTGTTACCCAGTGCGATGCAAGAGGCTTTTAATTCTGTGATCAGTTAGAAGTTAGGTTGTGTCACCGAGGAAGAGCTTCCTTTCTGCAGTTCTGGGTTTAACGTTGGGCCTGAGGGGTCTGTTGAAGATCTCCCTGAAAGTATATCTGTGCCTGAAAACTACAGATGCCTGTGTTAACCAGAGTTGCCTGGCACTGGAGCCTGACCTGAGCTGCCTTCCTCTTGGCACCTGCCCCTCCAGTGCCCAACATCTTAACGCAGAGGGGGGTATCTGTGGAGTGAGTGTCGTCCGCTGAGGGGCCAATTTTAGGTTCTTTCCTTTGTTAAGGTCTGTATCCCTGGTTTTCCTGCTGCTAACTCTTTTCTCCAGCTTTATAGCCAAGGAATGGTCGCCAAAAGGGGAGCCAGATATTTGGTGGGATAAAGATTACACGCAAGCAAAAAAGCAAACTTGGTTTTGGAATGATTTTTAGAGTTGGAGGTGTCCCTTAGGAACTGAGTCCTAGGAAGACATGGGGAGAGCCTAGGAGGAGGATTTACCGTGGAAGCTGAGGTTAGGTTCCTTGTTTCAGCACTACATCATTCCCAAAGTTGTCTCCCTAGGAAGCTGTGAACTTGGAGAAAGTTTCATCCCCTGAATACTAAGAAGGATTAGCAGTGCTCCCAACTCCCTTTTACTTCCATGTGAGTATGTGTGTGGTAGATGATGAATTTCTACCAGTGTAGCCAGTCTGCTCTAAGGAAAGGTCCGTCTCCCAACTCCTTAGCCCTCTCCTCCCACTTCTCCTGCAGTCCAATTCTATGAGAGAAATGCCTTGAGGAAAGGAAACCAAGCTGAAGGTCAGGGATTTTGTTGTGGTTGTTCTGTTTTTTTTTGCTTTTCAGAAGAGAGAGTATTTGCTCTCCTTCTGAAATCCTTAGGTCACAATTAGGACCTTATGATGTACTTTGTTTATAGAATGTGGTGGAAGTACCAGTGTGAGACCTCTGAGACAAAGCAGCTTTTGTTCTTTTCTTCTTCCTGCCCTGAGATTACCATGTATTGAAGACTGGCTAGCTTGCTTGAAGCCCAAAATTACTCGGAGACTTAGGCCCACCTGACAGCAACAACTGCCAGATCTTTTAGTGAAACCATTTTGGACCATCCAGCCCCCACCAAGCCACCAGCTGACTCCCATCACAAGAGTAAGATCAACAGAAGAACCACTCATGCCAAATTGCCAAAGCCCAGAATAATGAGCTAATTTTTTTTGGGGGGGGGGGTTGTTTTAAGCCACAAACTATTGGGGGGTGGTTACACAGCAATAGGTAACTGAAATAGGTGTTTTAACTCTCTAGACGTTTTTGTCACCTTATATTGATATAATTGTATTGGCCAACTTGTTTTGTAAAGTGATTTCTCTACCAATATTATATCTTGAAAATATTCCATAAACTTCATTATTTTCCACAGCTTTGCATTTGTCTTAATTTTCTATTACATGAATATTTTTAAATTTATTTAACCATTAACTTTCCTGAGCAACTCTTTCTCCTTGCCATCCAGCTCGTGTCTTCACCAACTTAACATTCCGTTCCTGGACCTTAGGGGGACATAGGTTCTTGTCATTTCAGGGGTAGTGTAGACTCTGAAGTGGGATGACTCACCCACTCAGAGGAATTTGTTCAAGGGTGTGATATAGGGCCTATATATATTTATTGAATAATAAGTTGGGTCTCCCTGATTACAATAGCTCTTTTCCGTTTTCCAATTCAAAATTTGCTTTCTGGAGCCATCTGACTTTCTTCACTGTGGCTCACTGGGGAATGTGATTCTTTAAGGTCGTTAATTAACTTTCTGAAGGATTGGTTTAAGGTTCCTAGAGGTGGAAATGGGAATCTCTGCTGTGTTATTTCTAAATGTCATCATCTCGATCCTCCAGATTACTTTTTAATTTTTAAAAAAATTTTTTCTCTTACAGTTGACATTCAGTATTATTTTATATTTGTTTCAGGTGTATAGTATAGTGGTTAGACATTTATATAACTTACAAAGTGATCCCCCCAATAAGACTAGTACCCAACTGGCACCTACATAATTATTACCATATTATTAACTGTTTTCACTATGCTGTGCTTTACATCCCCATGACTATTTTGTAACTACCAGTTTGTACTTATTAATTCCTTCACCTTTTTTACCCAGACCCCCAACACCCCTTCCCATCTATAAACCGTCAGTTTATTCTCTGTATCTACAAGTATGTTTCCATTGTTTGTTCATTTATGTTCTTGATGTAAGTGAAATCATATGGTATTTGTCTTTTTCTTGTCTGACTTACTTCACTTAGCTTAATACCCTCTAGATTCCATGTTGTTGCAAATGTTAGTATTTCATTCTTTTTTTATGGCTGATATTCCACTGTATATATGTACTACATCTTCTGTTATGGTGCGAACGATTCTAAGACCCACGGAGCCAATTGAGATTAATTATGAGCCTTTATTAGCCGACCGGTGACTGACTCTCTACCACGCAGGGTTAAGGAGATCAGCCCCTAGCTTCCCGAGGAGGTAGCTTATAAGGTCTCCTACTACATCTTTGAATGAATAAATTACAAGAAGCAGAAGTTAGTCGTTAACTTTTTGCACACAGATAAAAGGAACTCTCAAATCAAACAGGGCCTGACAGACAGTTTTATCATCTTCACCTTGGAATGTTACGCTTCTCCCTGGGGCTAGCGCCTGAAGATATCACCTTCCTGTAACTGAGTTACTGCTCTCTCTAGGGGCTGGCGCCTGGAGATACCACTTCCCTGAAACTGGAGAATTTCCACTTTTACACTTCTTTAAGCAAATATCAATGGATGGGCACTTAGATTGCCTCCATATCCAGGCTATTGCAAATAATGCTGGTTCCATGTGCACTTGAAAAGAATGTATATTCTGTTGCTTAGGGTGAAATACTTCAATTAAATCCATCTGTTTTTATATGTCACTTAAGGCTGCTGTTTCCTTGTTGACTTTCTGTCTGGAAGATCTGTCCATTGATGTCAATGGGGTGTTAAAGTCCCCCACTATGACTATTACAGTGGTCCCCAACCTTTTTGGCACCAGGGACTGGTGTTCCTATGAGAATCTAATGCCTAATGATCTGAGCTGGAGCTGAGGCAGTGATCCTAGCACTGGGGAGCAGCTGCAAATATAGATGAAGTTTCACTTGCTCGCCTATCATTCACCTCCTTCTGCGTAGCTCGATTCCTCATAGGCAATGGACTGGTACCGGTCTTTGGCCCAGGGCTTGGGGACCCTGTGTATTACTGTCGATCTCTCCCTTTATGTCCATCAATATTTGCTTTATAAATGTAGGTGCTCCTATGTTGTGTGCATAAATATTTACAAGGGTTATAGCTTCTTGTTGTATTGACCCCTTTATTATTATGAAATGTCCTTCACTGTCTCTTATTATAGCCTTTGTATTAAAATCTATTTTGTCTGATGTAAGTATTGCTACCCCAGATTTTTTTTTCATTTCCATTTGCATATCTTTTCCACCCATTTACTTTCAGTCTGTGTGTGTCTTTGGATCTGAAGTGAGTCTCTTGTAGGCAGCATATGTATGAGTCTTGTTTCCTTATCCATTCAGCTATGCTGTGTCTTTTGATTGGAGCAGTTAATCCATTTACTTTTAAAGTGTTTACTGATAGGTAAATAGTTATTGCCATTTTATTATTCATAGTTTATATCTTTTTCTTTCTTATTATACTAGTCCCTTAACATTTCTTATTATACTAGAACCCCTTTAACTTTTTCTTGTCTGGGAAGCTCTTTATCTGTCCTTTGATTCTAAATGATAGCCTTGCTGGGTAGAGTAATTTTGGTTGTAGGTCCTTGCTCTTCACCACTTTGAATGTTTTGTGTCAATCACTTCTGGCCTGCACAATTTCTGTTGAGAAATCTGCTGTCAGTCTAACGGGAGCTCACTTGTAGGTAACTAAAAGCTTTTTTCTTACTGCTTTTAAGAGTCTCTTTAACCTTTGTCATTTTAATTATGATGTGTCTTGGCGTGGGCCTCTTTGGGTTCATCTTATTAGGGACTCTCTGTGCTTCCTGGGCTTGTATGTCTATTTCCTTTGCCAGGATAGGGAAGTTTTCCCTCATTATTTCTTCAAATAGGTTTTCAATTCCTTGCTGTCTCTCATCTCCTTCTGGTACTCCTATGATGTGAATGTTGGTATGCTTGGTGTTGTCCCAGAGGCCCCTATCTTCATTTTTTAAAATTTTTTTTCCTTTTTCCTGTTCTGATTGGGTGTTTTCTGCTCCCTTGTCCATCAAATCACTGATTTGATCCTCTGCTTCATCTAATCTGCTGTTGATTCCTCCTGGTGTATTCTTCATTTGTTATTGCTAACTTGTCTTCAAAATTGCTGATTTGATCCTCTGCTTTATCTAATCTGCTATTGATTCTTCCTGGTGTATTCTTCATTTGTTATCGTAATATGGTAATTTCTGACTGGTTCTTTTTTATGGTTTTTATATCTTTTTTTATGCTTACTATCTCATTGTTGAAGTTCTAAGTTCCTTGAGCATCCCTCCCACTCGTTTTTGAATGCTTGCCTCTGTTTTGTTTAGTTCTTTTTCTGGAGTTATTGCCCCTTCTTTCATTTGGGACATTTTTGTCTCCTCATTTTGGCTGCC